GGTACAAGTTTCAGTTAACCAGGATGAATAAATTCTGAAAATCTAATGTATGACAATGGAACCGTAGTTAACAATATTGTACTGAATACTTGAAATTTGCTAAGGCATAGATTTTAAAGTTTTCACCACCAATAACAACAAGAAAAGGGAACTAAGATGGACTTTACAAAGGCAAAGCTTACAAAACCCTCTCAGGAAAATTAGCTTGGCATCTACCTCTCAGGGCTGAGCAGGCCAGGAACTTTGGTGATCTCGAGAAGACAGAAGATTGCCCACATGTACAGGAAAGCAAGTAGAACTTGGTGGGGAGAGTTTCTTGGCTTGGGAAGGAGGAGAAATTTGAAAGAGCAATTCATTATCTGAATCACCCAGGCAGAGGCTTCATTAGGTAAGTTATTGTGTCTGTCTGCATGAAACCAAAAGTTTATTTTCCATTTATTAGTGAGTGGCAGCTCCTGAGAAAGGTTTGGCCAGTTATAGACAATAAAAAAGCTACTTTTGGCTTGCACAATTGAGTTGTAGTATGAGTAAAAAATATTTTGACTACATTTACTAGCTGTAGTAACAATAAAAATAATATCTTGGCCGGGCACAGTGGCTCACACCTGTAATCCCAGCACTTTGGGAGGCCAAGACAGGTGGATCACGAGGTCAGGAGATCGAGACCATCTTGGCCAACATGGTGAAACCCCCTTGCTACTAAAAATACAAAAATTGGTTGGGCACGGTGGTGTGTGCCTGTAATCCCAGCTACTCGGGCGGCTGAGTCAGGAGAATCGCTTGAACCAGGGAGAGGGAGGTTGCAGTGAGCCGAGATTGCGCCATTGCACTCCAGCTTGGTGGCGGAGTGAGACTCTATCTCAATAATAATAATAATATTAATATCTCTAGACTTTTAAAAAGTATTATTTTTTTAACTTTCATTTTAAGTTTTATCTTAACTTTGCTATATAGGTAAATTGCATATTGTGAGGGTTTGGTGTACAGAGTATTTTGTCTATATTATTATCCAGGTAATAAGCATCGTACCTCATAGGTAGTTTTTCTATCCTTGCTCTTCTCCTACCTTCGATCCTCAAGAAGGTCCTGGTATCTGTTGTTCCCTTCTTTGTGTTCATATGTACTCAAAGTTTAGCTCCCACTTATAAGTGAGAACATGGGGTATTTGGTTTTCTGTTCCTGTGTTAATTTTCTTAGGATAATGCCTACAGCTCCATCCATGTTGCTGCAAAGGACATGATCTCATTCTTTTTTATGGCTGGCTAGTATTCCGTGGTGTATATGTACAACATTATCTTTATCCAGTCTACTGTCATTGTGCATTTAGATTGATCCCATGTCTTTACTGTTGTGAGCAATGCTGCAATGAACATACATGTGCATGTATCTTTATGGTACAATGATTTATATTCCTTTGGGTATCTATCCAGTAATGCAATTGCTGGATCGAATGGTAATTCTGCTTTAAGTTATGTGAGAAATCACCAAACTGTTTTCCATAGTGGCCAGACTAATTTACATTCCCACCAGCATTGGATAAGCATTTCCTCTTCTCCATAACCTCACCAGCGTCTGTTATTTTTTAACGTTTTCATAATAGCCATTCTGACTGGTGTGTAAGATGGTATCTCATTGTGGTTTTGATTGGCATTTTTCTAATGATTAGGAGTGTTGAGCATTTTTAAAAATATTATTCTTATGCATATACATATAAATATTCATATACATATGCATATATTTCCTCTAAAAAATTCATTCCTGGCATAATGTATTTTGTTCAACATGGCAAAGAATCCTGGCTGGTGCTCAACTCAAATGTTTTCCCCTTCAAAGTGGATTCGAATAATAATGAGTCACTGCATTTTTTCATATCTTGTTTGAAATCATATACAGGCCATTAATTTCCTTCTGTTGGAAGCAGCTGATTGTAATGGTTGAATCTTTGTTTAAACCCTGACCTGCCTGCATTAGCTGCCTGGTTAACTGTGTCTGGTGTTACACAAATAGTCAGTAAACATTGCCTGTTATTACTCTGTGATTGAACTCCTGTGGAATGAAAAAGTAGGATGCTAGTTTTTTTTAAAGTTTTAGTTTCATTCCTCACCCTTGACGAGTCAATCTGACACCCCCGTTTTATTTTCTTCTCCCTGCTTTTCCCTAGAATCACCAAATTTCATCAGGTATAGCCTTACCTGTAAATCTTATTTACAACATGCCCAGCAAGTAATTGTTAGCCTCAGCTTGAACATCAAAGTATCAGGGAGCTTGCTATCTCCATGGCGCTTCTCCTTTAGCCAGGTTTTTTGTTTGTTTGTTGGTTGGTGTTTTTTTAGATGGAGTCTCCCTCTGTCACCCAGGCTGGAAGTAATGGTGCAATCTCAGCTCACTGCAACCTCTGCCTCCCAGGTTCTAGCGATTCTCCTACCCAGCCTCCTGAGTAGATGGGATTACAGGTGCCTGCCACTATGCCCAGCTAATTTTCATATTTTTAGTAGACACGGGGTTTCACCATGTTGGTCAGGCTGGTCTTAAACTCCTGACCTCAGGTGATCTTCCCCCAGCCTCTGAAAGTGCTGGGATTATAGGCATGAGCCACTGCACCCAGCCTAGCCGGCTTTAGCAATTAGAAAAACCAGTGAAGTTGAATCCACCCCTTCAAAATATTATCTGACGATAATGTTTCTAATTCTCTTCTAACAGCTTCTAGTTCTCGTTCTCAGAGCTACACTGACAAACTATTGTTCCTCTGTAACACAGGAGCCCTGTAAATATCCGCCAGGAAGGCTGTCAGGTCTCCACTGAGCCTTTTCTTTCTAAGGCTGTACAACTGCTCTTCCTATAACATGGTTTCATCTCCTGCACCGTCTTGATTACTTTCTTGTGAACACATTGGTTTATCCATCTCTTTCTAAAAGTGACACCGAACCACAGGCTCTGAATATAGCGCAACAGCTACAGTCAGACCAACACACATTTAAGTGTATGTGACCACTTCCCTTTTCTCAAACACTACAAATTTGTTAATTTAGCTCAAGCTCAGATAATAATATTTAGGCTATCATGTTACACACTTGATTTAGACTCCAGTATCTAAAGAATTCTACAAATCGTATGTTTTCCCCACACTGCTTTCTGTGCAATTTTATGCAGGACTCTATTGGACTCTATTCTTAGTACGTTTTATCTTTTTTCAATTTGGCTTTTATTTCCTTCTGCTAAAATTAAATGCATGTTCTAGCTCTCCAAGTATTGTTTGATTTGCTGACTTAATAAGCATGCCTTCTGTATGTCCTTAAGCTCCACTGATAAAGACAAATATTGAAAACAAATTGGCACAGGACAGAAGCCTCTGTGTTGACGTTGATCTATTATTTAGTGCCCTCCCAGAAAAGCCATCTATCCAGTTACAAATCCTCTTAAAGATACCACCACCTAGTATTAATGTCTCCTTTTTGATAACAAGACCATCATCAAGGAATATTGTCAAAAACCTTGGTAAAATACGAATGCACAGTATCTATGATACTACATTCCTCTGCTCTGCTAATCAAAAAGACAAAAAAGAAGAATTAACCCACCAATCCTTAGTGATTATTTTTTTCCTAATGATGCTCAGACTATCCTATTTGTCCATGCAAAAATATATATTCCATGTCTGTTATGTTCTAGGCACAGGGCTAGATACAAATATATGGGATCCATGTCCTCAGGGAGTTTTCTGCCTTTAAATAATGTATTTTAGATTTTTCTCCAGAAATAATACCAATTTATCTTTCAGGTTTAGCACACAGTCAAGCACATAGCAGGTCTTTACTAAATAATTTTATATTGAGTTTAATGATTATTATAACTAACATCTATTGGGTGTTTACCTGTGACAGGCATTACATTAAGTACATTAAATGGATGTCATTTAATGTCTATGACATAATTCTCCCCCACTTTACAGATAAGAAAACTGAAGCACAAAATAATTAGGTAATTTACCTAAACCCACATATCTAGTGAGCAATGGAGAGTGGGATATAGCCCAGTCATCTGACAACAGAGGCAACACAGGCTTAACAAATATACTCTAGCTATGACTCAGCTACTCTGAAGGAATTTAACGAAAAGAGCATCTTACTTTGTAACCTAAAAATTCATAAGCCTGAGAAAAAGTTTTCTCAAAAAGTTTAAGCAAACACCTAGCAAATGCATCCAACAACTCCAGGGGAAATATAAAGCTTGTAGGAAAATTTTTATTTGAAAATAAGATATTCCCATTAACATAACTGGTATAAAATTATAATTTTTATCACAATAACTTGATGCTCTCAGCACAAAGCAGCGATAAGATTTTTCTTGTCTACCTCACTGCTCTACTTCATGAAAGTCAAATCAATTGAGATACAGGTGGCTCCTTAGAAGTTAACTACAAATTTAAGAAAAATATGAATGATGATATCCAATAAATTTTAAGGACTTTCCAACCTTTAGGTTTTCTGATAAAATTTTCAGGAGTAAATTCCCAATTCTATTCAGTTTATATTTTTTTAATCCAACTAATTTAAAGAAATTTTTCAATCTGGCCAGAAAGCATTCATCTTTTCAACAAGTGATGAAAACGCCTTAAAAGAGATATTTACTGTATTTATTCACAAAAGTTATTTAATTGTTTTTAATCAGAAACCAAGAGGTCAGCTGAGACCATTCTGAGGATTCTATAGTAAATACATTGACAGGTTCTATAAGGATATTCTTAATCAGTTTTTCTCATGATATAATTTTTATGCTTAGTAATTATGCAATTTAGTTGATGGTTTATAAACAAACAAATTCTAGCTTTATTCTCTAATTAAAAAGGCCCTAGACAGGTAAGCTCATAGGTGATCAACCAGAAAGAAAGTAATGAGTAGCTACTACAATTTGAGTTTCCATCTGTTTAAAATATTTCCAATACTGAACAATATTCAATAAGCTGGTTGGTGAGGCAAAGATCAAATATTTCATAATCTCACCTTTTGGAATGATCATCTTGTCATTCTTATCCAGGGACTTACCTTCCTAAATCAGAGGAAGTGCCCTGGAGCCAATGTGTTCCTCTGTGTATCTAAAATTAAGTATCCAGTTGGTGGTTAAATTAAGATCTGACCTTGTACAACTGAAACATAAGCTGTCTCTGGCACACGGTAAAGTATTACCCATGACTTCTCTAGATTCTCATCAAAAGAAATGCAAGCCCACAGAGGTATAATAAGATTATCTGTGTCCTGATTGGTTCAAAGAACTCTTATGAAAACAAAGGATCTGCCACTTCAGCTGCAGGGAGTGTTCCTACTGATAGCACAAAACAAAACCGCTTAGAATTAACACATATTTTAAAGATGTTTGTTCAAGAGACAAATCTGTAAGTCTTTGCTTTGGCAGATCCTAATCCACTTTTGACATATTTTAATACACACTATTTTTCTTTGGCCATCTTTAAGATTCAGGTCAAATTTCATTAAATACAATCTTCTTGTCATACTAATTTGCTGTCTTTGATTTTTGTTTAATAATTGCTAGTCTAATATACAGTTCGAGATAGGGCAGTCAGTGACATCTAATCTGATCAAGAATCATTAGGTCAAGTTATTGAGCACATATAGTCTAAAAAAGTGAGTAGCAAATGTATTAATAAAACAAGCAAAAAAATCAGGATTTTAACTGAGGAAGGTTGTTTGCTTTCTTTAAAAAAAAACAAAAAACAAAAAAACCAAAAACCAGTTAAGTTTATTGTGTTACTGATTTTCCAATAAAAATAGTCTGCCTTAAATTTGTTTTGACATAGCTATCTTTGAATTAACCCAGGTCACCGTCAGCACGCACAAAGCCATCTGGCCTCTATCCCCTTCACCCCACTAAAATAACTCTTCTTGTGGGTCTCAGTGACCTCTTTCTGATTTACGTTATAAACTCATTTCATATTTTATATTCATTTTCATTTCTTATTTTACAGATCCTCGTTGGATTTGCTGCCAGTGATTCTTCCCTTTTTCCTGAAACTCTCTACTTCTTCGGCTACTGGGAGCACTATGTGCTTTTGTTTTTCTTCTCATCTCTGATATTTCCTTTGTACTCAGCATTAATGAATATAAATATGTGGATTGTAGTGAATTTGCCAGATTTATTTTAAAACTTGAGAAACCATAAATGTGAAATGAGAGGTCCAAACTCCTCTTTAACTGTGATAAAAGAAGGTGCATTTCAATCATCTTCAAAGCAAACTGAGAAATATTTTATGGTTAAACCACTATTAACTGCGCATTGCAGTAGTCAAGGGTAAAGTTAGATCATTGTATACATTATCTACATTTTAACATTATTAATCTAATTTGGAATTGTTCAATACAGAATTCTTGTAAAAAGCAACCAGCATTGTGAAACACTTTAATTTTATACAACTTTTTTTTTACTTACATTGAAAATTCACATAAGGCTTTAGAGTACAGTGCAAATATATGGGAAAATGTGAACCCAACACTTTAAAATGTGGCTTGACATATTGCAGTGACTTTTCTGCTCTTAAACCAATTAATGTATGCCTGTTTTATCCATTTATACAATAGTTGTTACAGATCTACCTATGCCATACAACATTTAAAATAATGCAAAAAACGATAGAAAAGCCAAAAAAAAAAAAAAGACCATGTGGTAAAATAAATGAGAGCATGTTAGTGAAGACAGTCCTGTGGACAAGTCTTGCTTTACCACTTACTATTTCTGTAGATGCACTATTTACATTTTTGAGATTATTTATCTGTAGTACAGGAGTGATGATGATAATGGTGATGATGATGATGATACAATGACCACAGCGCCACTATTTTAATGACGCCTATTCCTCAAGTAGTTATTCATTTACACACACACAATAAGACATACTTTGAGCAACTCATATATTTGAAAGAATGATCCATTCATAATGCTAGTAATTGCCTCCACATTTGCCTCTTTTGGAAGTTGGCTTTCCTGTGGATTTTGTCAAAGGGGAAATAAAATGAGTCCTAGCTTTTCTAACAGTGTCTCTGGTTTTGTCTGGTGAGGGTGAGTTTCGAGGGGAGGGGGGGGTCAGATTTAACAGTGAAGGACTAGTTGAATACTACTGTCCAAGGAGTGACACTGATATCCAAATACACATTCCTTCTATCTATATATAGCAAGAAATGCATGTCCTGTTTCAAGATGACAATTATAGCAACTGATATGAAGAGCCTTAGGTTAAAATAGTTGGAGCACGGTGTTAGAGGAACTGTCCTTGGACCCACCTATTTCTATTTTGGGAATAAGAAATTTAGGTAGCATTGTTTGTGAATTTCCAGGGAGCAATGTGGCAGCTCTGCTTTCATGTTTAAGGCACCTGCCACTACTGCAGCCTCACTTTGTCCACAGGTTCTCTGTCTTCCTGAAAACAAGTGTGGGGCTTGCAGGCCTGGATTTTAAAAAACAGCTCTTGTTATGATTAGTCATACAATCACATCTACCTGCTACAAAGCCACTTATTACGTCCTTTCTGATCCAGCCCATTCTTTATGAAGCCTAATTAGAACTGGAGCTTTATCTCTTCCTTCCACAAAAAATGGTGTTGTTCAAACACCTCAGAGAGTCCTACTCTAAGTTATGCTATTATTTTTTGTTTGGTGTGTGTGTGGGTTTTTTTTTTTTTTGTATTTTCTTTTTTGTTGTTTTTAAGATATCCTATTATGTTGTTGGTTAGTAAGCAATACCTATATACATCTCACTTAGCTTCATTTTTACTTTGATCTATTTCAGGCTTTCTCCTTTTTCTCCTGCTTCCTTTGCTGTACTTGACCATTATTTTGGCCTTGGGATCTGTGATTTAAGAAATGCACATTTTATTTTGGTTAGGCATAAAACAGTAGAAAAAAATATGAAAACCTAAAATAAATCCTTTATGTTTAGTATGCGTCCCAGAACCTTTGTAATTGTTTATTTTTGCGATGCTGTACTCTGTTTTTCCAGACTGAAATCAAACAACTGAAACCATGAGCCAAATCTGTTAGCACTGAACTCCTCCAACAGCACTGATGTCACAGGCCCCTGGAAGAATCGACATGGTTGGCATTACTCTGGTCATTTAGCCGCCATGCAGCCAAGCAAAGGCAAGTGACGAAAATAGTATTTTTTAGTAAGGTAGAGCTACAGGTAGTTACACTAAATCAATGATGAACAAATGGCAGGGGGTCTTCCTGTATGGTTTCAGTTATATTTACCACTTTATCACTTTGTCTAGCAAGGTGTTCAGCACTCATCAAATATTTGTTGAATATTTTGAACACTGATGAGTTGTTCAAATGCGTTTGCAGTTATTTCCTGTTTAACCAAAGTTTAAGTCAATTAAGGTTGAGTCATAATGAATTTTTTAAAACCTGGTTGATCTTTCTTTTTTTCTTTTTTGCAAACAAAGTGCTTAATTTTCACTATTATGAAAGGCATTTCAAGTGTATCTAAGAGAAGCAAACTTGGATTAAAAGGAGAGAATATGTATTTTAGTCTAAGATCTGTCAGTTTTTGTGAAGCAAGACAAATCATGTAATGGTATCTAAAGGTTTATCCTTCAGTTTCCTACCGTGTAATAACACTGCTCTTGTTATTTCATATCGTTATGAAAATGAGAGCATAATTATGAAAGTTCTTTGAAAAACTAATAATCCCTATACAGATACAGGATTTATAGTCTAGGTATAGAAGTATATTACACTCCTGGGGACATAAAATGGACATGAGGGAAACCATCACATTTGGTTGTCTATTCTACACATACAGACACACATTTTAGTATATGCAGAATGTGATGCTAGGCACTTCAGGGCATGCCAAAGTGGGTGGGACACGTCGTTCTAGTCCCAAAAGCTGATCATTGTGTAGAGAACAAAAAAGTAGAGCGATGAGACCTAAGAAGGCTGTGGAGGAGAAGGTCAGAGAACAAAGACACACACACACACACACACACACACACACACACGCACACGCACACGCACACACACACACACACACACTTGAGCTTTAAAAAGAGAAAATGATTTTACATTAATGGATCATTAAAGTAGAGAAGTTCCCCTTATCTGTAAAGGATATATATATTTTTCAGATGAAGTCTCTCTGTTGCCCAGGCTGGAGTACAGTGGTGAGATCTCAGCTCATTGCAACCTCCACCTCCTGTGTTCAAGCGATTCTCTTGCCTCAGTCTCCCAAGTAGTTAGGATTACAGGTTTGTGCCACCATGCCTGGCTAATTTTTATTTTTTTAGTAGAGACAGGGTTTCATCATAATAAGAAATGCAGGTCAAAGGGTGCTGATGTTAATCCAGCAATTTTATATATGAATTCCTATGTGTAATATGTCAGTTTGGGCAGGGGGAAATCTTTACTCATAATTTTTCTTTTAAAAATATTTTGATTTCACTCATTGTTTCTTTCAGGTGACTCTTAGAATCATCTAGTCAAAATGGAATTATGATTGGAAGTGCACTAAGAAAAGATTCCTTTGGGAAGAATGAACATATTTTCAATATTTTTACATCTCTAAAACATTGACTCTCACTCACCCAGAAAAATATGTCTTAATTTATTCAAAACTTTTCTTTTGAACTAATGTAAAGTTTCACAGTTTAACTGAAGTCTTGACTATTTCTGAGATATTTATTCCTCAATAGTTTATGATTTTTATTTCTTTGTGAATAGAAGTGTTTCCCCTTGTATATTTGAATTGGTTATTCTGGCACATTGAAAGCTAATACTCTGTGTATTTATTTTGAATCAACTGCCTTTTAGAATTTTTATTCATTCTAATGATTTTAGGTTGATTTTCTTGCATTCTGTACATTACAAAATGTCATGTTGAGTGGTTGGAAACCTTATGAGAAATATTACACTAATCTATTAACGGGGGAAAGATATTATACTAGGAAACATTTAGAACAGGATACTAGTGTATAAACTCTATAAGTGTGACTTGTATACAGCAGTTGTTCTTAGGTTTGACATGTATTGGAATCACCTGGGGAGCTTTAGAAAACAGTGATGTTCGGCCGCCTCCCTCAGACACGCTGATTTCTGGGCATCAGGACATTAAAATTCCTTCCTCCCTCTCTCCCTCCATCCTTCTCTCCTTTCCTTCCTTCCTTCC